CAGTGAGGTGCTGACTTCAGCATGCCTTGTCATTCCTGGACTCCTATACATCCACCAGGAGCATGCTGTCCTTGTGGAGGCTCAGCATGTTTGGACCCAAACAGACTGCCAGATTGTTGGCATCCATATGGGATCTGTTGGCAGTCTCATTCAGGTTTTGTCTCCTTCACCATTCCCCTATGCTATAGCTACAAATTAGGAGAAGTTAATGGAACCTATTCTTTATACAGCCGATTTATCACTTCATTACTACATAAAAAGTTCTTTCCCTCGTATAGTATTTAGCCATAAATAATTTTCTGTGACTTACATATGCAGCCTTCCRTATGTTTTTGTTAGGAAATAAGACTTCTGTGCACTCTAACCAAATAAATAAAGATGGATCATAGGCACGATGTTTCTATTTGAATTAATATCCTCTAAATATTTGTGTTTCTAGAATGTTGCTTTAATGAAATAGTTAGCAACCCAGCTTTGTTTGTGTATGTGCATGCATGCATATCTGTGTAACTGAGTGATTTATTTGCATGTAGATAAATAGACGAAACATTGCATATAATGAAAATACAAGGTAAAGAAAATTTGCTTGGGAAAGTATTTGGGAAGGAAAGGAAAGGATTCTTCTTCTATTTTGCAGAAGTGGGATGGGAATCATGAAGCTGTTCTTTGTTTCTTTATACCTCATCATTTATTAAAAAATCTCCACTTACTGGTAAGATGCAAGTTTCTTTTCCTTTTTTTAAACATGATTTTACTAGATATCAAGGAAGAAGTAATTTTACACGTTGCAGTGGAATAGATATACTATAATGCAAAACAGTCATGGTTTATGGTAATAGGGACTTTTCTTCATGAAAATATTGGGAAAAAAATCATGCCTTTTGTCATATTTAATCACCTCTTCTTGAGAAGTCAGAAAGAGAATTTAGCAGAAAAAAACCATGACCCTTCCATTCCATAGATAAAAACTAGGCATAGGTAATTTTCTTTCTCTTTATTCAATAGAGGGAAAGAGAGCAGTGTTTTTCTACTCATTCTCTATCTAATGAGACACCCTTTTGCAAAAAAAAAAAAAAAAAAGGTCAACAGGTATTTTGAAATGTATCTGAACTACTCAAATATTAGCCATCTGATACAGGATTTGGGCAGAAACTTATCTCAGAATAAAATGCTCATGAAAAAGTTAATCAACAGGTGAGTTAGATGGGGACATTTTTCAGTCCAAACAATTAAAAGGTTTTGTAATGCTGAACTACTACTGGATTTCCTTCATAGCCTCATAGGACATTATGTTCCACTCAGTTATGCCTGCACTGAGATTAATAAATTCTGCTTATGTTTAGTGAAAGCAGCATTTACCTTTTATAGGGAGTGCAGTACTTGGAATTCATTGAAGGATTGATGCTGGAAAGTGTTAGAAAACAACATCTTAGGTGTTGCCAATCTTTGCTAGATTAAGAGAGTGATAAAAATTGAAGCCAGTTTGATAAAAATTGAAGCTAGTGAATTACTTYGTATCTTAAATGTTTAGGGATTAAGCTGGTTTGCATTTCTCAATTGAAAGAAGCTGAGCTTCTGCTGCCAGCTACAGGGAACACAGAAGGGCAAATACTGAAATTACAGAAAGTTTGAGTAACTCTGGGCTAAAGCAGCTCCTCAAGAAAGSCACCAATATTCGTGAAAACATTGGAAAATGAGGGAGCCCCATGTTTCTTCATAGTTTGTTCTAGTTATTATGCAGCTGTGCTTTTATATACCCTATTTTTAAAAAATGAAATAGTCAGATTTGTTTTCATCTACTGGTTTATATATATTCTGTTGAAGTGCTGTTTGTTTAGTGTTTTCTCTTTGTGGACTTTGTGGTACATAAACTGTATTTTCTCTCAGTTCTCTATGTTTTTTCTTTCCCAATAATGTAGTGCTGGGAAATGTAAAGAGCAATGCTAACTCTGAATATTTTTTTTCTCCTTTCTGTAATCACTCCATTTTTTCTATTTCAAAAAAAGTTGTTTTCCTTTCAAAAAACACAAGTTGCACATCATGAGGGTCAGTCTTATMAATACAGTAAACACAGATAAGGTCAGTGTTAATCATCATGTCTGCCCAAATAWCTACAAAGATTGTAAGGAAGCAGATGATGAGCATTTTGCCATGATTTTCAGAGTCACTACCTTCCCACAAATTAGTGTTGCTTTCACTCTGGGYGCATGGAGCTGAATTAGTGCACAGATACTAATGCATTTGCATGGAGCCAGGTGACACAGCAGGACAGGTTGCTCTGTCCTTGCCTATATTCCCCAAGGAGTGTGCCAATCCCGATTTWATCAAAACAACTTGGTATTTACCTCCAGATCAATAGCTGAAATAATGCATAGGCTCTTTCCTAGTACTGCCAACACAAATCAAATGGGATTTTATAGAAGACCTTTTATTTTTTCTTTTTTAATGATCAACTAGTGAATCACAAGTTGTTACAAGGTAAATATAAAAAATAGTTTAAGAAAAATAATTGTCAGATGGAAAGCACAAAGGTAAATGTAAAATATGCTGAAGCAAGATTAGACTTTCTTTAATTCCAAGCAGAATGTGGATGAACCTATTAAATTACATTGAAGCAGTGAAGTAAAAATTATTTTTGTGGAAAGGAAGTTACTTTCCCTCCTTTTGGGCTCCAGTCAAAAAAATTWGGCTTTTCAACCATAGAAACTGAAGTGCTGAAAAAAAGCTGAAAAACAGGCCAAGGAGAACAAACTTCTGATTTGAATTGCAATTATTTATTAAAGAGGACATGCAGTTTTTCATTGCTTTTGCATTGGATRGTCATCTTTGACTCAGTGAAAATTCTATCAAAAAATAAGATTGAAGAAACCTATCCAGGTGCCACAATCCTTACAACTAAATCTCTATTCAATTAAGTGACAGAGCAGATGAGGAAATAAGCTGTGTGACATAGAGCTGTCACCCCAARAAAGCCTCCAGAAAGGACTGAGAAGCAACCAGAAATTTTTAATAGCACCGATGCATTCTTACTGAATTCAAACAGATTTCAGACATACCTGTACCTGTTCTCAAAATGTTAAAAATTTAGGGTAAAAACACTATGTCAGTAAAACAGGAATGAAGAGAAAGGAAAATAACACATGATAGAAATGCAAGGCAAATATAGAAACAATTGGAATACTTAGGGTGGCAAAATGCTAAGATTCTGCTGAAGGCAGACTACTGCGAGTTTGAAATGTGAGTATGATTCCTTGGTGATGTTACTGCTTTGTAACCTCTTTTAATTGGACTATGTCAACATGGCGAAGTATTCACATGGAAATAATTATCAAACAAATTAAAATCTAAATAGTTTCAATTAATCGTTTGCTTCTGTTTTCCAGACTGTGCTTCAGAGCCCTGAGGGCCAGACTAGAGGAGAGGACGAGCTAACTCTTCTCTGTTGTCCTTTCAGTGACATCAGCAGAATTATTCAATTCACTGTCRCATAGAATTTGGGCTAGTGAACATACAGAGATAGAGCACTTTACTCCAGCTCTTATGTGACCCATTATTTCAATGCCAATATACAAACACAATCTATTTGCTATAGGCATGTCTACAGAATAGGCAAACTGAAATAGCTACTAAACTACCTGTATGGTTATAGTCTAAAGAAATCATACACATAGAGCTACTGTAATTTACATGAGTCTTCAGTTGACTTCCACTTGTGATGTATATATAACAGAAATACACATTTATGCAATTCACACACAGAGTTAGCATACTGGTTGCAAATGAAACTTTGTTTTTTAAACAACTATCTGGATCTTTAAATGGCAAAAACATTTTTTCTTCTGGCAGAGCTCTCGACCTTTAAAATTGCCAGTGGAGACTTTGCTCTGCTCCGCTGCTGCCCCAGCTGTCTGACTTTGCAGTAAACACTCAGCATCTAACGTATCTTAGCTCTGCMTAAGGCTTATTAATTTTTTAGAAGACTGACTGACTTGGAACAAGGAAGATCACCCTGCATCATGAATTCGAGCCTGAGACTTTGGAAAGGAGACAGCCACACCGTACTTCCTTATGTCAAAGTCAGCAATGCCATCTAGTGCGTTTCTTGTGAGTGTGCATGAAAGAGCCTGAGAAAAAAAGCCCACTGCTAAGAAAGTGTGTTTCTTGGCAGCTCTACTTTATCTAAAAGTGCCATTTTTGAAACATTTTTTTTCTTCTAACAAAAATCACTATACACTTGGCAAACATGGGATAAAAACAAAGGGASTTGGAATGAGGATGCTTATTTTTTAATTAAGATTTCAGTCTCATACATTATTAAGCAAAAGAGATGCAGAAGCTAYGTGAGCCATTAGATGCTATAGTATGATTTAGGTACTATGAAAAATGAATTGACTCAAGCTTGTTCTTGCAGCTATTTATAGACTCAGCTGATGTTATAGTTTCAGTCACGAGAATTTCAAATGTATTAGTCTAAAACTGATGTTGCCAGATCATGGAAYAGCATTTAAAAAGGGCCCATAAAACCATGTGTCCTATAAAGTACTGGTAACATGGGCAAAGCCAGAGAACAGTTATGGATCAAAACAGTGATTAACTAGAGAGGACAAGGAGAAGAGAGCATTACTGAGGAAGGAAGGAGTGATTTGTTTAATGAAACCAGTCTCCTATCATTTACTAAAATATTTCAAAAAGACAAATCGGAGAAATTAAACTACTTATTTTCTAGCAATAAAACACTTGGATAAATACTACACTTAATGTAGTCTTTAAATTCTCCATGCTATTGTCTTGCTATTTGGGAAATTAAATGGGATGTGCCCAGGGGCACATCACATCCCATCTTCCAGTCTTCCATCCTCCCCATCATTTCTATTTAACACATGTTTACCGAAGCTTTTGGAAAACCTAAATAAGGACACATCAGACTGGTTAATAAAAATTGTACAAAATCATGGTTTATTGAAAACTGAAAAAAAAAATGAAACGGGTGTTATCATATTACACTGCAGCCATGAAGCAACAGGAAAGGGGAGCCTGATGCAGTGCAATGGAATTTCAACTCATCATAAAACAAACAATGTTCAATCATTCAGTATGGAAAGTGCATTCCAATGCTGCAATCCTGACATGATTGACACTACAGAAAAAAAAAAACCTGAACATATCCAAGACAACGTCAAAGTTAAAGACTGGCATGCTGGGCAAGGAAGGTTCTTATTCTCTGTAAGAGTTCTTTCTTTACGCTGTCTGGTACCAAGGCTGGAAAAAAACCAAAAAGAAAGCAAGTAAAAATGAAATGTGAAAGAGCRCCAAAAATCAACTTTTTGCAACAGCTACTTACATTTAAATTTGTTCTTGCAATTCTGCTAATACCTGAGGTAACCAAAGCTACTTAATTTTTTTCAATATAAGCATATAACAATAGAACTCAACAAATTTAAAATTAGCCTTTTAAATAAGAAAAAAAAGTTGTGAATAAAGGCACACTTTTATCTGGCTATAAACAAGAAAATGAAGCACTTAGGGAAAATGCTTATTTAACAGGAAACAAATAATTAGAAATTAGTTTGATTATCAGGGGTATCTTTCTTCATCAATTTAAAAGCAAAAATTTTTTGGCCATGACCTCAGAGTAAAAGTGTTCAGCAAGTTATTTCAAAGGTCTGCTTTTAAGAGTTAACAATGTTTCTCCCACCAGGAGCAAAGCTTCTTAAACAGTCCAAGTAAAACTGTGTATACAGAGAATAACATGTGTGCACGTGCATGTTCTGTCCTTCGCTTTTCCTAATACCCATTATGTAGTTCAGAATTTTGTCTAAGAAACAGTTGGGAGAAAAAGCAAACAAAAAAAAACCTCAAACCAAGCACACTCACACTCTCTACTACTTACTTATAGCAATACCACTTCAATGGCAGAGATTTCCTGGGTCTATGAAGTTAATTATAACGATATGGGCTCATGTGATACAAGGTCAGTACAAAGAGAATGGCTGTTACACCACGCAAACCTATTTTATTTCCAGTTAACACCAAGCTACTAACAGTTTCCCTTCACATAAACATAAGCTATTTCACGGGGCTGTTTTGAAACAAGCCTTGAAATTTCAATAGATATATTTGCTAATGCACAATTAGTGAATCACAGTCACTCTTCCATTAAATTTCCTTACCTCTGCCTTTGGGGGTGATTTCTGCCACCAAATCATCCACGGTAACGTGCTCTAATCCTTTTTCTTTAATCACATCTAAAGAATGCCAAGACAGACATTTGAAGACTTTTAATACACGCAGTATAAGCCAAAACAAGTGGCAATGATTAAGATACGAAGTCTGCAGGGACAGGCCAGAGGAGACTAGTCTACAATCTAAAATTACCTCATTAACCCAGTATCTACTTTATATTACAATAGATTTAGTCTCTAATTCATACTACAGGTTTAAGAATGTGATCCTTCCCTACTGACACATCTCAACCAGCATATATTTTCAAAGTCTAACATTATAAAATTCAAGTTTATCTGAATATTACTAAACTTGTATATTACTGGAAGTGCTGTAATAGTTTGCAAGTTGGTCYGCTCACATTTCCAAACAAATCAATCCAATTGCATTTGTTTTCCTCAACGTTGTGTATAAAAGACTTCAATTTAAAATACAGCAAAGTATTTACAACTCCTTGCAGTGTCCTATCTTCCTAATTAGTTTGAATTGGTTCATCTCTACCCATATTTCAGCAAATAAAAAAAAAAATTCAGTCAGGTAAAAAACCTATCACAAAATAGAAAAGCTGTGAGAAACACTGTGTGATTAATACACTTGTTTTGTTCAAAGACATTTTCTACTTATAAAATTTGAAGATTACTGATAATGTAGATGATGATGATGATGATGATGAAAAGTATCTTGAATTCAACACCGTAGTTCTGAAACATTCTCTCTAAATGGGAATGTTTTAACTGCACTGTAGACATATCATTAGGTAAAAGATCTGAAGAATCTTAGCCCCTAAGACGCCAGAATCTCTTTTACCAACTGCCACCATGTGTGTTGTCTGAACATTGACTTTCCCTGGTCCACCTTCCCGTATAAGCTCATCATGTACTAATATAATTATTGGCACTAATCCACAATTATAGGTGGAAGAAGCAAAGGAAATAACTGTCCCTTCTGTTGGAAGTTATTGTACCCTGAACAGGAACAACTAATTTGATATTTACTTTCTCAGCAGCTGCAATTCAACATATCAGTACAGAATGTACAATTTCAAATAACTTTAGCAAAACTGATTAAAAACTGTAGTAAAGCCAAATACTCATAGCACGGATAGTGAAATAAATGTTTAATCCCTACATGTTTGAATACTCATAATCCAATTAAGCAGACAACTGCAAGAATCACTTCAGCCTTCTTTGCATATCCTGTGCATATCGTACGCGTATTCTGTGATAATGACTTAACGCTATTAGGTCTACAAAACGAAAAACTTGATTAATTRAAACTGTACCAATTAATTATAAAATATTAATATTAAGATATCAAGCACAGATCCGATCAAAATAAATACAAAAATTCAAGGAATTTGTTGTCTGCTTTATGGAAAATGCTATAAACAAAATAACAGCTTCATGCAATTTACAGATCTATCCATTGCAGTAAAGGTAAAGAGTTAATTCATCATGAAACACTACACRTTATTTTTCTTTCTTTCACCTTACATGATTTGTCACAGACCTTTCCTCTCGCTTAAGTCTTGTTAAGATTGACTGTTAAACTGAAGCCTTTAGTTAGCTACTGTTACCTTTGCAATGTGCCTTCAGCTGATCCTTCCAGCCACATTCAATTAACTTGGCTCTCAGCAACTCTTTAAGGCTGTTAAGAGAAAAAAAAAAAAAAAAAAAGGTGGGGGGAGGAGTGTTGTTATCTGCAGACACAAATAAAATATACACCAGCACAAGATTAAGTCTACAATCACAGCTGACAAGACCAGCAGCAGAAACGGCTGAACAGCACCTGACTAATATCCGGGATGGACCCTACCATTTCAGTTCATTTTATCCTGTTGGGTCATAAGGAAGTCTTGGCTTTGGAACTGATCCATGGTACTTTTTCAGGGAGTTTTTATGTTATAGCCATAGGAGGAAAAAAAAAAAAAAAAAAAAAAAGTAAGAATATAACCCCTTCAGCTCCCTGAGTCATGCCTGGTGTCAAACATATGAGTGCAGCAGCTTTCAAAGCTGGAATATTTCAGTTGAAATCAGGTCTTCAAAATAAGGTTCACCCCGCTAAAGAAGGGCTTGGATCCGCCTACCCAGGCACATTCTATGTTATCTCGGCTGCCGAGGGGMGCACACGCATTGCAGGGGCACAGAGCGGGAACGAGAGGCGTTTGGGGCGGGCAGCGCGGCCCGGCGGCGGGGCAGCAGCGCGGGCCGGGCCTCGCTCCGCGCCGCCGCCCGCCGCCCACTCACCGCTCTCGCTCGCCGGTTTCTATCAGCTTCTGGTTAATGGTCGCTCGCATCTGGGCATCTTTATTCATTCTGCAAGCCTAGCTTTGCACGGATCTACAGGAAGCAGGAGCAAGTTTCCACAACAACATCAGCAACGCTTGGAAATAGTGAAACGATAACGACACTCCCCCCTATCGCCTCCCTGCGGCCCCCCCAGCCGCGGCGGCCGCTGCGGTCCCGGCTGCCCCCCGCTCTGGCCGCCGCACTCACCCCAGCGCTGCCGCCCTCCTGCCCTCCCGCCGGCAGCGGAAACCGCCGCCGCCGCCCCCCGCCCCCATCAGCACCTCCCCCTCCGCCGCGGCGCCAGCAAATGGCGGGGGCGCCGCAACTACAACTCCCGGCATGCCCTGGGGGGACTGCACAGCGCYTGCGTGTGAACTGCAGCTCCCGGCATGCTGTGCGCCTGAGCCTTACTGGGGCTGGGCCCGCGGCTGAACTACAGCTCCCGGCATGCCCCGCGGCGCCCGGAACGGCGCTCCCATGATGCCCCGCGGCTGCTGCACGCGCGCGGCGCTGAGGGAGCTGTCGCCTCCCGCCAGCGCCCCGGGGCCGCCGCGATGGCGGCGGGTGCTGCGCAGTGCTCGCTGAGGACGAAGCGCCTCCTCCTGGACGCCCGGTTCGAGGGCTACAAGCTGTCCCTGGAGCCGCTCGCCTGCTACCAGCTGGCGCTCGACGCGGGTGAGGGGCGGCCCAGTGCGGGGAGGGGGCCGCAGGGGAAGCAGCGCGGTTGTCCGGGGCCTGTCCAGCCGGAACGGGGTCGGTTTCCGGGTGGGTCAGGAGACCGGAGTGAGGGGTCCCGTGTTGGCTCGTGCGCGGGACGGAACCCCGGGGAGCAGCTGAGCCCCTCTGAGGTGATGGCCTTGAAAAGAGGCTGGAAGTGAGTAGGCCTGADTTAGCGAAATGCACGGGACGCTAATGTCTCCTATAAAGTCCAGCAAGTTTGCCTTTTTTTTTTTTTTTTTTTTTTTTGTGTTACTATTTTGGATCAGAGGTGATGCTTCTGACTGCTCATTCAATGCTTTACTTTTCTCGCTGGTTACTACCCTTCAGGTCCTGATCAAGCTTCTCATCTCTTTAAGGAGAGCATTACCACGAGGTGGCATTTGGGTAGATGTGCTTTACAGCTCAAATCTCGGCATCCTCCCGCTGCTGACTTGTTAAATTTATGTGTGGTGTAAACTGAACAATTACTTCTAAAGCTGTGCCTGTTGTGTGGGACAGCTGCTGTGGGCTGGCCTTGGCCTGCCCTAAATATTTACAGTTATACGCTAGTCTTCTAAATGATCTTTTAGGCATTGTCACTGTTAACATCGAGTATGTTATCCTAACAGAAAGACAGAAAAGTTTGTTTGCTGTGGTGAATTGTGGGCAGTAAGGTGGAAGCTGGATGTGAACTGTGGTTTGCATTTGAGGTAGATTTAAGGTATTTTTTTGTATCTTTGCTTATATTATGGTCAGGAATATGGATCAAACCATAGAAACCATGGCCTGTAGGCTTTGCCTTTTTCAAATTATGGCAGTGGAAAAAAATAATACTGTAGAGAAGGACAGGGATTTCTAGTTTTCAGCACATTTATGTCAGATTTAAAGCTTCAGAAGCGTGCTCAAGGATTTACTACTTAGGGATGATTAAAATAACATTTTATTTTGAGTATAGGACTTGATTTTATTTCCCCCAAGTGGTAGTGAATAGTATATAATAGCTGAAGAGAAGGTCAAAGGATAAGCGATCAGCACAAATAATATATGMTTTTACTCACGCGTTTGCAAAAAGAAAAATAGGCTAAAAAGCTGGAAGAGTAATGCTAAACAATTGTTGAATTTTGTGATTTTTTTTTTTCCTCTTTCCCCTGCCCCACTCCCCCCAAAGAATCTGTTTTGGGGGCTTTTGTCTGAAATGAACTGACATTTGGAGTTCTGCCAATTCCAATTGAAGTGGAATAGAAACTTATGGTATGTGAGTAGATGGACAGTAGTAGTTGATATTGCTGGACCTATTGTGTTGATTGCCACATTTTTGTGGCCACAGTAAACTTTATTTCTCACCATCATATAAAATGTAGCATTCACCTCTGCCTTTAACTGTTTTAACTGTGATTTGCATAAATTTGATGTGGACAAAACCCATATATATATAAAATATATGTTTTTATATGTATAAACTTTTTTTTTTGGACCTGCCATAGAAGTTGGACATTTCTGGTGGATTTCTTAGGTGTGTTGCAGTGATTAAGAACAATGAATCCTAGTATTATACAGTCCCTTTTAGTTCCTGTGATTAACATATCGTTCCTTAATTACCTTCTTTCATGTTACCCATTGTTCCCTGGTCTATCTAAACTGTGACTTCTGTCTTTTCACAGAATATTCAAGGTTGGAAGGGACCTCTAAAGATCATCTAGTCCGACCTTCCCGCTCCAGCAGGGACACCTAGAGCATGTGGCACAGGGCGGCATCCAGGCGGGTTTTGAAGACCTCCAGAGTAGGAGACTCCACAACCTCCCTGGGCAGCCTGTTCCACTGCTCTGTCACCCTCACAGGAAAGAAGTTCTTCCTCACCTGGAGACAGAACTTCCTGTGCTTCAGCTTGTGGCCATTACCCCTTGTCCTATCGCTGGCCACCATTGAAAACAGCTTGTCCCCTTCCTCCCTGCATTCTCCCTTCCTGAGCTTATATATGTTAATCATATCCCCTCTGAGCCTTCTCTTCTCCAGAGAAAACAGGCCCAGCTCACTCAGCCTCTCCTCGTAAGAGAGATGTTCCATTCCCTTAATCATCCTGGTTGCTCTTCTCTGGACCCTCTCGAGAAGCT